TACTCTGTAGTTACCAGGGCTTCAGCCAAACTAGGCAAACAGGAGAAGGTGATGGACTCACGCATACCGGTCCTGAAGACCAGGGCTAATATTCCCAGCTCGTACAGATTACCCATGTCGCCACAGTCCTACAGTGAAGCTGTGCAAAGTCAGCCAAGTGGATGTGGCTCCACCCCTGTTAACACGACTAGGTTAACAGATCCGAGTGGGAAAATTGCACTAAGTGAGAACTTCATAACACCCATCCCCATGGTAGACCATGAAACAAATAGGAAGGCCAAAAAGAAACGTTCACGACGTCGCAAGACGACAAGAACGCTCCCCAAGAAGACAGACGACTGCAAGGTCTGTGCTTCTGTTGTCGAACAAGCAGACTCTGCTTTCGAATGTAACTTTTGCAACCGATGGGTGCATTGCAGATGCGACAGTGGGGTACCAAAAGCATATTATGACTTTATGCGTAAAAACCCATGCCAATGGTTCTGGTACATATGCCCGAGTTGCCGTCCTGATGTAGCCTCGCGTAGTCCTTTGAAAACTAAAGATGGCACAGAAGTAGCGGGGAAAAAGGTGAAAAGCTCGACCCCCACCAATCCGGAAGTTAGTACAAACGCGCGTAAACCGGGGATACCAAAATCCTCACCGGTTAAACTTGTAACTCTTGCCATAACCGCTCCAGACACAGAGGCTGGAGAACCACGGGTTTCCGTCGTTGGAAAAAGACCCCAACCGTCTATCAGTAATGCTGGCTATAGCACTGAGACACATAAAAATACCCAGTCGCACCAGTCAAACCAAAACGGTCTTAAAGGTGATCACAAACGTGCGAGGACCGAGCCCAAGCCCACGGTTAGCAGATCAAATTGTGTAATCCTCTTTAATGTACCAGACTGTAGCAGTAGTCTGCTGAAAGATAGGGCCCTATTTGATCAGGAACAGTGGTCCATCTTAAGTAGCACACTGGGTTTGGACATCCAACCAGTAAATCTATGCAGATTGTATAGGGGCACTGCTGCACCTGAAGGCAAACCATCCCCACTGAGGGTAACATTGGGCTCTACCGAGGATGTTGAAAAAGTGTTACTGGCTTCTCAAGTCCTTTCTATAGGGAGGGCCTGTAACATACGTGTTAAGCCAGACAGGCCGTGGAAGGAAAGACAAATGGCGAGGGAGTCGCCAGAGCTCATTCCTTCTGCCTCCATGGTTGTGCATGGCATTCCCGAACTGGTAACTGGGAACGCCTGCGAAAAGCATTGTCATGATGTACAACAATGGAGATGGTTAGCATCCCAGATGGCCCTGGGAAGTTCAGGGGCTGTCTCTATTTATAGACTGCCTCGACCCACTCATCTTATGTCAATTAACTCGCCACGTCTGTTAGCTGTCAAGTTCAGCTCCCAAGACCAGTTGACTACCGCTCTCCATAGATGGTACGAGACCAAGGACAAGGTCAGCAAACACATTCGCTGCTGCGAGAGCCGGCCTCGCACTCAAAGGAGAGAACAAAGCGTAGTAAAAAAAATCCTCAACCCCTAGTCACACTACAGCGGTGCAGCACGGACGATGATAGCCAGTGTCATCCGAGTGCTCCAACTGAACTAGAAGAAAAAAACGCCAACAGGCCGGTTCCTGGGGAATCGGCCAACTAGTTCGTAGGATAACTCCTCAACCGATAGCCAATATCAAGTCAACTACCCCCCAATACGGGGAAGTGGTGAGACTGACTACCAGTTGCCTGTATAGTAATGTGAGAGGGCTAAGAGGCAAAATAGCTGAACTTAGACACCTACAATCACAACTAAACTCCAAAATCATAATACTGACGGAAACCTGGCTAACCCCTACGGTGGCAGACAGCGAAGTCAGTATAAATGATATGGTCCTAGTCAGGCGAGATAGGGACCTGAAAGAAGGAGGTGGAGTCGCCATATACGTCGACAAACAGCTCAGATGTGTTCACGCGACGGACCCTCCCCTCACAGAGCTCCCTGACTCCATATGGTGCCACTTCACCGTTGGGTACTGCAAATATCTAGTGGGCAGCATTTATCGATCACCTTCATGTGGAGCAGACCATAACCAGGTACTGCTAAATACAATTTCAGCAACTCAAGACATGGGTTATGATCAAATTGTCATAGCTGGTGACTTCAATGCCCCATCTCTTAACTTGGTGTCGGGAAAAGCCCATGATAGATTTGATCGAAATCTGCTGCATACCATCAGGAAGGCTGGATTCACTGAAAATGTCAAGATGGATACTAGATGGGGCCCTGATGGGAAGTCTTCTAGACTGGATTACGTGCTCACTAGTGACCAGCTACTAGTGGAAAACGTTCAGATCACGACTCCCATAGGTAGTAGTGACCACGCGGTCATAGTATTCGACATAGTCCTCCGCGAGCGCTTACAGTGGGACAATACACAGCCCTATCTGTGTTATAACAAAGCCAACTTTACCAAAATGCGAAGACTTCTGTCTGAAGCAAACTGGCCTAAAAAATGGACAGAGCTAACAGTAGAAGAACACTGGAGAGTGGTAAAGGAAATCATTCACCAGGCGGTCTCAGACACTGTTCCTTTAGTCTCACCAAAAGCTAGGAAGCAACGATCATGGCTGAAAAGAGGGACACAACGCCTTCTGCAGGCAAAGCGTAAAGCCTGGTTCGCGTGGCGACGATCGAAGAGTCAACCCGAATATGAAGTGTACCTTGAACTCAGGAATCGATGTAACATACGAGTCCGGAGCGATAGAAGGACATTTCAGGGAGACCTCGCCAATAAGCTTCTCGTGAACCCCAAAAGCCTATACAGGTTTATGGCCGAAAGAAAACCGACCAACCAGGGAGCATGCAATCTAGTGGGTTCTGATGGGAAATCTCTTACTAGTCTTGAAATGGCAGAGACATTCAGCCTAGCCTTTCACAGGCAACTAAATAGTAACGAGGATATTACCCCTACAGAACATCCAGATTACATCGCAGAACCAACACACGAAAACCTGCTGGGGACATTTCAAATTACCCCGGCTATGGTACTTGCAAAATTGGGAAGGTTGGCTTCGGGAAAGTCTCCAGGTTGTGATGGCATCAGACCATCTGTCCTGAAGCAGTGTTCAGAAAGTCTCTGTCAACCCCTAAGTGATCTGTTCCAACACTCCCTTGATGTAGGGAAACTTCCATGTGAATGGAAACGTGCAATCCTATCCCCTATCTTCAAGGGTGGTGACCGGCAGAATGTGACCAGTTACAGACCAGTTGCTCTACTTCCAGTGGTATCGAAGATATTGGAAAGTCTCATTGACGACCACATGAGAAAATACTTCGATGGGACTAACCTTCTTCACGAAGCACAGCACGGTTTCAGGAGGGGAAGATCCTGCGTGACGAATCTTCTACTAGCCTGGAACGATTGGACACTATCCTGGGACAAAAAGGTACCAGCCCACGTGATCTTTCTCGACTTTGCGAAAGCATTCGACACAGTTCACCATGGTCTGCTCCTTCACAAAATAGGCAAGGCGGGAGTTTCTGGAGCACTTCTCGCATGGCTGACAGATTACTTAGGCGAGAGAGAATTCTGCACCAAAGTCAACCGCATCCGATCATCTTGGCACACCTCGGCATCAGGGGTTCCTCAGGGTTCTATCCTAGGGCCGTTGATGTTTTTGATTTTTATCAATGACCTGCCCCCCCAACTAAACTGCTCTGCGCTTCTTTACGCTGACGACGTAAAGATTTGGAGAGCAATAAACTCATCGGAAGACTCAGATAGATTGCAGGCTGACCTGCAAACTCTGGGAAATTGGGCTTTGGCTAACGGAATGCCTTTCAATCTAAAGAAGTGCAAAGTAGTGCAGCTTCATTCCGGCAGGTCACAGAGTGTAAATTACACCCTTGGTGGCCAGAACTTGAGTTGTGTTCCATCAGAGCGTGATCTAGGTCTTATTCTAACAGAAAAGCTAGACACCAGTGGAAATTACTCGAGGGACGTCGCCAAAGCCTACGCAACATTACACTTTATGCACAGGCAGCTGGGAGCTCTCACTCCCGAACTGTTCTTAAGGCTATACAAGGCATATGTGAGGCCACACCTTGAGGTGCATAATATCATTGCACCTCCGCTACTCAAAAGGGATGCTAACATTCTAGAAAGTGTCCAGAGACGAGCGACAAAATGGGTGATCGGCCTCCGCAACAAATCATATGAGGAAAGACTAAAGAAATTAGGTCTTTTCACACTTAGTTACCGTAGGCACAGGGGAGACCTCATCACCGTCTACAAGATCCTAAATGACCAGGCCCACCCAAATAAAAGCATCCTGCCATTAAGCGATTATAGGCTTCCACGAGGTAACCCGCTAAGGATAGCACACCAGAGACCAAAGACTCGAGTGCGATCACATTTCTTTTCGCTTCGTGTTTGCCGTCTCTGGAACGCTTTACCGGCGGCCGTGACTACAGCGCCATCTCTGGAGATTTTTAAGCGGAAGCTAGACAATCATGCAGAAATGCAAGGTTTGTGTCTCAATGGCTTATCCTCATAAAATTTGAAACCAGACTGTCAATGAATAAGCGTACTAACTAAATCCCCACGACCTATTCTGCCTTCTCTCACTCTATCTTTTCCTTAGGTCACCTTTATTATTCCACTTATCTCAACCTATATTATCTACACTACAACCTATTATTTTTATTCTTCTTATTATTACTACTATTCTGCTTTTATGACTACACCGAATGACCAACGGGAGTTAGGTCAAACTCCATTCACGGCAGCAATACAGTCCTAACATACTGCATACTACAAACCACATCTCGACCAATCCCCGCACCACTCCTCCTGGAGTCTACCAGAGCTAAAGCAGTCGAGTGGCGGGACTTACTACGCAGAAGCTCACCGAAGATCTGGAACCTCTACCTCACAATCAAGAAGCGAGCTCAAAGAAATCACTGGTTTATACTAGCTCGTAATCAGGATATTGGATATTGGATTGTAAATTCAAGCGTACAATGCGCGTCCAACTTTCAGTTAAGTGCGCTACTGTTATTGAGATGATAATTTAGCGAATGCTACCAGCAATTTGTTTTGAAGACATGTGATTTATGAAAAGTGAGTTTAAAGCTGCAAATAAAACATTTTTGGTGACTAAACTATAGCAGCCCAAAAAGAAGCTACCTCTAGCGATCACTCACGCGTTAGAAGTAAAAGTGCATGTTTTGGAATAAACGTCTTAACACATATAATGCAACGTGAAAAACATGGCTGAATAGAATAATACTCTTGTATTTGTTCCAAAAACTTCTCAATTTCTAACAGGAGTCTTCATAGTCAGGTTAAACCAGTTTATGTAAATAAATTCGTCTAGGTCATCATTCCACTCACTAGGTAGTTTCGTTTAGGGCTGCTATAGTTTAGAGCAACCAAATTTTTAACTGTCTAACATTGTTTCATCTCTTGTATCAGCCGAGAAAAGCTACGTACGATGATATATGTTCGCCCTTGATGGATTTTTCGAGCGTATTTTGAGAAATTTCTGCATAAACCTGATAAAGCATCTAGGGGATACGTCAGGAAGTAGAACATATCTGCTTGAATAGTTTAAAAACGCACTCAAATTTCACAGTTAGGAACTTCTGTGCACATTCGGAAAAAGTGGTGAAAGCGGATAAATAATGAGAAAAAAATAAGCTCGACCTTCTCTATGTTCACCTGGAGTCCTGTCTTCACCACCTGCTTCTCTAGCCAGTTCGTTGGTTTTCGTCTGAAAGTTTTCTAGTCTTGGTGACATCATACTTCAATCATCCACGCACGAAATCCATATTTTCTGGAGTTTTCTCATCGGTCATTGCAACTTATTCCTGTCTTTCACTCCCTGTGAACAATCTGACGCATAATCCAGTCCACCACAATCAGAAATATCATCGGTGATTGTAGGCAGCCACCAAGCTTTGCCTTACTGCTGTATTCACTTCGGACGCCTTACTGAGTTTCCCGTTGTGGATCACCTGACACGTGCCGCTGTCATATAGCTCTGGTTGGATAAGTTTGATAAAGACTTGAGCATTGCACGCTGGAGTGTTGAAGCAATTTTCAAATTACTTCTCCGTCAATACTGTCGAAGGTCTTTTAAAGTCGATGAGGTCATGGTAAAGGTTTGACTACCATTCTATGCTTTGTTCTTTGATGACTATGCGTAGAGTTGCGATTTGATCAGCACATGATTTGCTTTTCTTTTGTACACGTTTCCTTGAACATCACCTTCAGAGAGTTCCAGTGTCCTTCCACCCCGATTTCATCGGTGATACCACGCAGTGTCTCCGACTTTGATCTGACGTGATATTTAGTGAAGGCATCCCTTGTATTTTTGTCCTTCAGTTTCTGAATATTGAACTTGGATTGCGGCCTGTCTTCAGTTTTCCTGAAGGATTTTAGCCTGGCCGTGAAGGTTTCTTGAACTAAGTAATGGTCTGAGTGAGACCAAATCTGCTCCCCTTCTCCATTGTGTATCCATCAGGCTGGGTCTCCACTTCCTTGGGCAGTATTGAGATGAAGTCTATCCGGTTTGTGGTTTGTCCGTCAGGAGAAATCCATGTTGCCTTGTGTATATCTGTGTGCTTCTACACTGCCTCTGATCACCAAATCATTGAAAGCGCGGAAGTCTACGAATAATTCTCCGTGCTCATCCATTCACCCGAACGAGACCCTCTCGACCCATGATGAGTTCTCCTCCTGTATCATCTGCTCCCAGTTTGGTATTTTTTCATCACCTAAAAGGATTGTAATGCCTCCATTTCGAATGTTGTTCATTATTGTTTGTAGTTGTCTGTGGAAGTCTTCCTTCTATTGTTCTGCGTTGTTTGTAGCACTGCGTAGCATTGGATAATTGTGACTTTTATGCCTTCCTTTTGAGTTGAATCTTGTTGCCATGATCCTGAATGAAATTGGTTCTCACTACATTAAAGGTTTGGTTGCCATTGGTGACGTCATCACAGCCACTGCCTCGGTGTGCTCATGATTGTCGTCTGGGTGATCAGAGTAGATTACTGACTCCCCAATCTACAATTTTGACAGTCCGTATGCATTACATTTGCTCTTGCAGATTCCCAGTACTTATGTAATGTATCTTCTAATTTCTTCGGATACCTGGGCAGCCTTCCCCGCCTCATACGTTGCACCTACATTCCACGTCCCCATTCTTATTCTTGCTTTCGTCGAGAGAAGGCACATCGGCTGACTGGCTTCTTGAGAGCTTTCAGGCGCCTACGTCATGTCGCCTCTCCAATTCCAGCGAATAACAAGTTTGTTTTTTCATAGATTTTGTATTTTAAATGTATATTTTTTGTAATCTGAAGTTTCTGTAGAATTTTGAATGGTTTTGTGGAGTAGGGTCGCTAGCCCCATACCCACCCCTCCCTCTTTACTCGGGCTTGAGACCTGCTAGAAAACTGACGAGTTAGTAAAATAGGCAAGGTTACCGTGACCATTATTTAATTAACATTCACCATATTCCCAAAATCTTCCCTTTTTAACTATTCTTTGCCTATTTTCGTCCAACTGTGCAACGTCTGTTTCCATTGAGGGGAAAACACCTTTTGAAAAGCCTCATGATACTTTGGGCTCTGAGGACAGTGAGAATGTTTTCGTGGATTTCTTAAACCTTCTCCAGTAACTTACTTCGAACTCCCCACCAGAACATTCCACTTAGAGCAATTATATGTACTTCCCAAAATAGTCAAGGTGAGCCTTAAATTTCACCTCAACTGTTCCATGTATCGAAAATGCGCAAAGTAATCAATCTGATATGCCAAGTTCAACCCTGATCTTAAAAATCGAGTCTTTTAGTCTAGCTGATCACAGTGATCAACTTTTCACACTCCACGAGGAACTTATCTCAAGCAAACAGGTGCTTTCTACATAAGAACAAAGTAGTAGAAATGAGTCGTGTCTAAATAGTCAAAAGGTGTGGATAATTGTCTGACAGAATGACTGGTTTGTGACGATTCAAACTTGAGGGAACTGGCCAACAGTGTGCTTCGTGCGTAACTACACACCCACCTCTTCAGTTTACAAATCCGCTATAACTTTCACGTCGGCAGAAACTATTTTTGTGATGCCTTGGGGCCCCACGTTTTCATTGCTGTCATGGTTTATGTAAAACTTCTGAATGTTGGTGATCACCTTTCCACTGATGCATTCAACAGTGTTCAGAGTTTTGACATCTTAGTGCGTGTTGGGAACTGTCTGCATCCTTGCTAACCTGTCGTCCACATCGTGCAGACATTTGTATTCTCCCTGCATAACCAATATTATAAGATACATCTCCATTTGCATTTCTGCGTTCCGTGTCCACCTGTGCTAAATACATGTCCAAAGGCAGCTCTATTCACAAAATATTATGTTGCCTCAAAATCTTGGGGGTCTTCATTTGCTTTTTGAAAGTGGGCATACAGAAGTGAAACTTTACTTTGAAGAAACCAGGAGTTAAATTTTTTTATGGGTGCGCCCCCAATATCCGAATTAGATACCGTCTACCTAACACTGTGAATGTTAGTTGTCCTGTTAGACTTAACGTCTTGCTCATTTTTGCCGCATGGAACGATGTAAGTTATACTTTAGCAATATATTGACAGCTGTGGGAAATCGCCAAAGTAAACTTCGATTCTCATATACCCTCAGTGATTTTTCTTGCATTTTGTGCTCATGGTTGTCAGTGTGGAGGCTGCGATAGGTAAGTAGCATTGTGAAGCTGTTATATAAAAAGTTGCCGGTGCTATTTATTGTCTGTGGGTCCCAGGTTCTGATTTCGGCCATGTGGGCTATATTGGGTAGTTTCAGAAAGTTGTGGGGCATATCCTGGTGCATAAAGTATATCTTAGTGACGTAGTTTTCACCATTAATGAGTTTACATATCTTCACTTTTCTAGACTTTAGTGGGGTTTACTGATCGAACGCAGTTTTATCTCTCCATTGAGCTACTTGATCATGTGTCAGGATGAGACTAAGTAGACTTTACTAAGTCTGATGCAGTAGTGTGGAGGGATGGAATAACGAAATATCTGTTTGTCGAATCTTCTGGTTCTATATACAGTAGGGTTGAATCATTACCTGTTTCAGGTATATGTGGGATTTTATCAGTTGTTATTGATGTGTAAGGTGATTGTGAATGTGTATAGGCATGTAAATGGTGAAAGTAGGAATAAAATCATTAAAGACTTCTGATGTTAGTTGGAGTCAAATTAGGCTGGAAAACAGTTAAGAATGGTGAAATGAAAATATGGTATTGATCCATAGAGTCATTGACTGTTAATCTGAGCTACGTAGAGAAATGGGGATTGGTTGACTGAGATCAGTGTTCGGAGACTTCACACGATGGCTGAAAATTGTTCACAGATGTAATCAGTCTTCAGCATCATATAGATTCTGAAAGTGCTCACCAGTCTTCATTCAATATAGCGAAAATACTTATTCAGACATCTAGAAAAAAAATTAAGCAGAGAATATTCTTTTCGATAAATTCCTCCTCTGGCTCTACAATTATATATATATATATATATATATATATATGTATATACAGAATATTCTAGAATAGTAGTCAATAACGACATTAGTGTTTTTTTAAAATAATATCGATTTGTTAAGTAAGATCAGTGGAATTACAGTTCACTAAAGATGCATAGATTATAATAAAAATATAATAGCCAATAAAATATGGAAATTTCTGTGAAAAATTGAGGATCATTAGAACATAGATGGCCAAGATAAGGACGGTGTCTGAACCAGATTCTTTTGGACACATAAATTGGGCTTCTTAATGTGGATCCCAGCGGCCTCAGCAATATTTAGTAGACGAACTCCTAAGGTGACGCTAAGATTTGTCGGCATGCAATAAATTACTTTGAAAGCCGCCTCGTTAACACAAAATAAGGGTGATTTTGAAGACAGCGTAATTCTGCAGCATGGAATGCTCTTTTCACCGCATTTCTAAGGTGGCGTTGTGTCAATATATCTAGCTGACGTTATCCCTGAAGAACTGAATTTGTCAGAATAAGGCCTTTTTAGGAACTGTCAGTACCTTAAACTGTCTTGATTTTTGAATCATATTCTTATCAATGAACTTCCCTGGATAACCATTTTCACTCAGAAGCCGTTTAATATTATTATGTTCTCCATCGAGGCATTCATAGGAGCAGATTGCTCTTGCTCCGTGAACCAAGCACTTTATCAGATTGTATTTGTATTTCAAAGGTACGAAGCTTAAAAACTGAGTATACTGACAGTCAGTTGATGTAGGTTTTCTATTTACACCTCTTCTTGCTGTGCCATCCTCTTTTCTGGCCATAAGGACGTCTAGAAATGAAATACTAGAGCCTCTTTCTTTCTCAATAGTAAAATTTGTTGCAGGATGAACCTCGTTAAATTTATCCAGGGTGTTCTTTGCTTCCTCCTCATTTATCATAATCAAAAATTTATCATCCATGTACCGACAATAGAATTCAAGTTCATCAATTACATTTTCAAAGGCCTATTCTCTATTTTCGCAAGGAAAATTGTCGGCTAGAATAGGTTCTAGTGGTGATTCCATCACCACACCATTGATTTGTCTGTGTAGTTCCTTATGAAATAAAATGTGAAAATTCACTGTGCATTTCGAGAGCTCTTTTGTTTAAAATACAGGAATGTTGACATCGATGTTTCGTTTTATGAGTTCAATTATTTTGTCAAATATCTTTGTCTGCTGTAGTTTTACCACGTAGATTTTCTTCATATTTATGCTTTTTCAAAGTGTGGTGGCATGAAATGATGCAATTTTGTATCACTTTTGATGAGTGAGCAGGGTTGATTTCGCAGAGTTAATATGAACTGCATGGAAAAGGCTATGGAATGACGAAGAATTATGCTAATACAAGATCACATATTACTTGTGAAATTTCTTCACTGATATGAATTTTAGCCAACCTAAGCATATCAGGCGTCAGTGGCATAGCGGTTAGGACGCTTGCCGACCACGCAGATAGTCCGGGGTTCGATCCCCGGCCGCTGCACACCTCTACCTCGCTAAGCCAGAAATAATCCTGGTAAAGGGGAAAGGTTGGGCATGAGGCTAGCAACCGCATCCTTTAAAATAAACACTGCTACAGAAACTTCAAGCCACTAGCTTGAAACCCTATGTTCCACTGGGGAACGTGAAGGAAAAATAAAAATAATATAAGCATATCAGGGATTAGATGTATCTTTTCTACACATATTGTCTGTTAAATGGTTGTAAATATTACCTGATTGCTGTATGCATTGTATTCTACAGATGAACAAAAAAGCACACGGAGCTACAACTGAATGCTCCTCTTTGGAATTGGTTGAAGCTGCTAAAGCCAAACAAATTTCTATAAGAGAACGTCTAGCTGCAAGACGTGAATTTTTAGCATCAATTACCAATCAAACAACAAAAGATATAAATCCAGCTTCTTTTCTTTTAACAAATAACAATTGGGTTGGTTTATTTAACAAGACATTCGGTGTTAACTCAACTGCAGCTTCACTTATTGAATATGCATTTAAAAAGATACGTTTAGAAAGTCATTCGACAAATGTTCATGAAACAAATCCAATTAATAATATCCAATGGAATGTGCCTTCCGTATCTGAAGCATCGAATTTACCAACTGATGATAGCAATTCTAACGAAAATTGTCCACTGGATAAATCCAGTTTAAAAGTCTCTACCGCCAGCTTACAACAACCAAATACAACTACCAATTTACCTGATTCATTGAGTAAGTTGCATCGTTTACTATGAATTTCGTGAACTTAGTAGAAATATCTTATATCATAACTAGTTTGAATATGTTCTTCACGTAATACTGTTTATAGGATAGAATGAAAATATAAAAAGTAACCACACTAATCAGAAAATTTAGATGACATAACAATACTGATATATTAGATTCAGGGAAGAGTGTGTGGATGGCACTGTCTTTCTAGATGAAAACGCCGATAAAATTCAGTTGTCTTGTGAACACCTTGAGCAAAAATCTTCAAATGTTTGGCATTCGATTAGCTCCTGTCAAATGGTAAGGTGATGCTGCACGACTGCAATACACCCACTTGTAGTTTGAAGATAGGGAGTGAAGTGTGGTAGATTGTGATGACCACTTCATTTATCTGGGAAGTCTCATTAGCCCCCAACGGGTTGATCGCTGACGAAATCTCAGCACGGATACAGAAGGCTGGCGTGGTATTTGCTAACTTGCGCCATCTATGGGGTAGAGGTGATATCCAGCTGTCGATTTGAGTACGTATAATTGCTTAGTAAGTAGACAATCTGGAAATTTATCTACCCTTATCTTGTAACAATTATTTTGTGCATGTGGTAATTTAAAATGTGTTTCCTTTTCTTGAAAAATAGAATCTACTGCAACCCAGGATTCAGTGACTAAACAATTAAGGTAAGTAATACTGTTAGGATATTTATTATATAACTGACAACTGACCGCTTATGTACATTGTTTTCTGTCTCTCAGTATGAAAAGTTGCCACGATGAAAGTAGCGGTAATAGAGCTACTATTAAATTTTGTGGTATGAAGAATCGTCAGAAGTTAGAATTCATAGGCAGGTCATTGAATCTCGTCTATGTGGCTTAAGATTTGTCTGTGGGATTGTCTCATAACCTGAACGTCGGGGATTCGATCTCCGGTGGAATGGTTGGCGAGTACTGATGAAGAGTTTTAGACTGGGACAAAACGGATAACCAACGGATATTCCTCCATTTACTACAGTGCTTTTACAAATGATGTCAATTCGCAGCCCAATTTGTAACTCTATTTCATTCGACAGCAAGTGTTGGTTGCATTTGCTTTGTGAATTTATGGAAGAGGGAGAAAACAATGTGACCCTTAACAACATTACAGTTGCTGATCATCTAACCATTACCTGAATGAGATGTTAACGTGAATCTTCTATGTGTAAAAGGTTACGAGAGCTGTCTCGAATCAAAAAAGAAGCAAAGCAAAGGAACCTGATAGCATGACTCCGGAGTTGTTTGTAGATGGCTGCGATTAACTGGTGACTTTGTTAACCAAGATAATAAATAATGTGTCTTTCTGGAATGTTGCAAATCATTGATTAGATAAATCCTCCTATGATAACAAAAGGATGTTCAGGTGTTGTAACATATTATCTAAAGTTTTTGGGTCATAATCCTGCGTAGACTAAGTAGGGCTGGAGTGGCGGAATAAACCTGATAAAACCAAGTGGATTTCACTCCCACAAGAGGGTATGTTGATTATGTCCTTCCCCTTCGTTAGATTTGGGAATATAGATATGCTCACTGAAGCCCAACACTTACCGCATTTCTTGTAATCTTTCGCAGTGGCGTAAATGCATCCGGTCTTTGTGATGTTTCAGATCCATTAAATTCCCATTTTTCTTTCTTGCCCGACCGAAAGCTGCTACCTTGACGTGGTGGTCGGGCTTGAACACCGCAATGACCTAATCAAGCTATACTGGCTGAGACTTATGTCTCTTGAGGTTCTACCATGCCAGGCAGGTTGTTTGGATAGCGGTTAAACGAAAAGCAGCTACCCAATCCAACAGAATGATACACAGAAAACCACAAAATTTCATGCCGGATCGGCCGTGGCCCGGATTAACAACGACCGCGCTTCCTGCTGCCGTGTCACAGGACAGGAGTGATAAGTATGCTACTGAGACACACCAAACAAAAGAGGACAAACAAAAACAGGCCGCGTGTGACCGGCCTCAAGCAGTTGTCCCCTGGGCTCTGCGGTCACGCAACCAACTTCCACGGTGTGGGCAGCCGGGAAGTAACAATCTGATATATATCCACATATATATATTTATGTGTGTGTGTATGTTGGTCTCTCTTTCTGTTTGCTCTCTTAGTCTGTGACCATTTCACTGGTATGAACTTGTCTCCTTTAACGATGTATATTCTCCTTATATTATATATAATATGAGTGTTTGTTGACAGTCCGTTGCTTGGTGACATATATCCATATATGGTTGTTGACATGTCTGCTATATTCGCTATGTATATTTGGATCGACACTCCATTATAATTAGCCATTCATGTTAAGACTGTCCAATGATTTGTTCCCACGCTTTGTCTGGAACATTCATATATATTTCGCATTCACATTCTGTGTGAACTACTTTACTTACTTACCATTTTGGTGTGAGACCATTTATTTTCGTCTCCTTGTGTTTGGACAATAGAAGTATCATCGCAAACCTAGTGGTCTTCTGATTTCCGCCTTCTTGCGTCAGGACTATTAGTTTCTCGACCAGTCCATAACAATAAATTTGTCGACGAGTACATAACACAATCGCCCTCACATTCCGAAATACATTCCGATTGCATACTTTTCAGTCTATTATGTAGTTTCTCTGCTTTATGAAATGTGTCACTGCTGCGCTTCTGTGCAAAGTACTATACTGAAAGTCAGTCAGTATAAATGGCGTCATTCCATTGCTTCTTCTGCCCTATCTTACTTCACTGATCCAATAACAATCTGTGATGTGGTACTGTGGTTGCTAGTTTAAGTGTTAGTAGATTACTCCATCATCCACTGAACACTCCTGAGTATAAGCATATCGTCACTTGTCAAATCTTGATGGCTTTATTTAGGACTAATAGTATTTTGACACTCATCGAACATAGTAAACTAAGATGTATTAGGGAAATTAACACAGTTTGGATGGTTGTAATGATTTTGGCCCTGTCTTATCTGTATCAGTCGGCATATGCTGCTGACAACCTCGTCCTAGATCGGTTGTCTAGCTTTTAGATCTCCTTGTCCATGATTACTGAGCACTACTGGTTGGTAGGTTTGGTTTCTCACTACTTATATTATGGAATAGTAGTATACACCATAAAACTTTTGCACTCGATCTTCATGTTTATCATTATATGTCATTTATGCCATGTGCTCTGAAATTTTACATTGCAATCTTTATATTACCAACATATTTAAATTGGCTATATTTTATCCAGTTTGCTCATTTAGCTCTAACTGACAAGGATTGGTATAATTTTAATGACTTAGCTTCTTAACTGGTCTATTTGTGCATACTGATGAGCTGAGCTCTAGGCAAGTGAAACTGTCTATCTGTTTTCGACATAGAACTTTGCTCCGATATGCGACAGTTCAAGTCGCCACACTCCATATAGCACATAAATCAAGTGAAGAAAGTAGAAGAAATGCATCATAGAGGCAGTAAACAGAGGTGTGAGACAAAGGAATAGTAATAACGAAGAACAAAACAGTCTCATTGGAAATCATAAGTCACAGGGAGTGGATGCATCTGCACTAGTCATTGAGAACGATTATGACCCATATCACCAATTGCTTCCAGCCATTGGTGTTGTTTATCGTCCCGAGGACCCCAACCAGGAAGTCTACACCTTCCTACGTAACTTAAATCAACTGTTGTAGCTTTCATTGGCTGGTGCTGTGCTTCAGTTTGACCGCCGCTAGCTTTTCTCCAGCCTGACCCTATGTGAGCTAACATTGCCCGTTGAGGAAGGCGATGACTAGGCATGTCTAACACGTGTCCTAACCATCTCAGTCGATGTAACTTCACAACCTCGTCGATTGATTTCCCCTGTTTACCTAGAACTCGACGCCTAACTTCAATATTGCTCACCTTATTATACCACTTCGCACGGGAGATAGAATGCAGGCACCTATGATCAAAGACAGCTAATCTTTTCATGTCTTCTACGCTAGAGACGGCGTAAACTGGCATATGCGAAACTAGCCCTCTGTATCCGTGCGGAGGCAAGTGAAACAGTCATGAAACACTGTTCAGATCACTCAGTTACTTTTGGTTTCTGTGATGGCATTACAACAAATATGTAGATGTTTAAAAATATATTATGAATTCCACTCTGCATTGCAATGTAAATGTTGTGGTTTGCGTATAAGGCAAGCAGAGAGTAGTCGTGAATTTTAACATAACATAACATAACATAAGCTTTATTCCAAATCAGTACTTGTGATACAGAATGGAATTCTCAGCATTTTACTACAATATTGCATCCAGTTTTTTTTTACATTAACAATAAATAAAGTTCTACATAGTTTAAAGTTATCTCAACAACATATTAGTATGTCGGTAGCAAAGCCAAAATTAAAGTGTTTGAAGGTGTTTGAAAAGTAGATTTTATTGTACATTGAATATTTTTCATTGCAGTGAACAGTCTAAAGACCATAGTCAACGGAAATCAGATTTAGGCTCAGAGAAGAAGGTCACCATTCCCAAACATCTGCGAAATGATTCAACACAAGACACAAGAAATAAACTAACAGAAAACAAACTTAAAGAAGATGGGCAAAGGATAGAACTTGAACTAGAAAATCTATTAGGAGCTGAAACTACTCGTGAAAAAGAAAGCAAACGCATCCGAGAAGAGGTTATGGAATTGTTGAATAGACAGACTACTAAAGTAAGTTCATTTGCGCTAAGGTGTATGCTGTTCCGCATACTTAATGATATTTCTGCTGTTTTGCGGCAAACACTAACAGAAAAAATAGATACGATTAATGTTTATAAAACTTATGTAACGTAATCTCATCTATGACCCTACATAAACTTAGTGGTGTTTAACAACGAACATGTAGGAGGCGTAGATATTTAGTAGGCTTTTCCGATGACCTGTGATTGATCTCACCCCCCCCCCACAGTTCATTTGGTGTTTCTACCGAATTCGTGTTGTGTATTAAAACATACATAGGCAATTAGACATCAAAAGTTCGCTTGAATCTTCCTCGAGATATGGACATATTTCCCTTTTAACATAGTGATCAAGAAAATGATTCTGTGCAGTGCATTTTACCCTTCTATAAAAAAAGCAGCTGTCCTTCCGATACTATACTACTGTAGGTGGGTCAGAAGAATTATTTTCGTCTTACCATATCAGACATTTTAAGAGAGTAGATAGATATCTCGGATTATTAACCCTTTTATATGGGATGTTTCCTAAGCATTCCTGGAGATCATGAACTTAAACATGCTGTAAAGGTGTTATCAACATACTTATAAATGTAAAAGGAATATCCTCATGAATTGTGAATACACACTAATATATGTGTGACCCCTGACAATACTCTGAGTCGGTAAATAAAATACAAGTCGATCACGGATTGATATCAGTTAGAGAACCATTGAAAACCAGGGAGTACTGGGCAGCTGCTGTTTCATCCTAGTTTGGGAATCATCGGCAGTACGCACCCACTGGGTTTCTGACTCAGTACCTTCCGGTTACAAGGCAAGCTCGTGTACCATTCAGCCACTGGGACCCGATTCAATAGTTCGTGAATTCTAACTTCTACCAATTCGTGATTTAGCGCGACCCCAACCATTGTCGTTGGTGGGACATCCATCCACACACGTGACATCTAATTGGACCTCACTGGTCACAACTTCTCACTGAATCATCGGCAGTGAGATCCAATTAGATGTCACGTGTGTGGATGGATGTCCCACCAAGGACAATGGTTGGGGTCGCGCTAAATCACGAATTAGTAGAAGTTAGATTTCACGAGCCATTGAATCGGGTCCCAGTGGCTGAATGGTACACGAGCTTGCCTTGTAACCGGAAGGTACTGAGTCAGAAACCCAGTGGGTGCGTACTGCCGATGATTCCCAAACTTAGGATGAAACAGCAGCTGTCCAGTATTCCCTGGTTTCCAATGGCTCTGTAACTGATATCAATCCATGATCGACTCATAAAAACATGACTAACCCTTACAAACCAAACTATAGAAAATAAAATACACTCAGTTGTTTGTACACGCTGGCTCTGTTTCACTACGCTTAAACATTATGATGAATCATAGAGTGTACTAATGTGCATTTTCTTTTTGATACATTTCCTTATAGGAAAGATTCCTTACAGAGCGTTTCCGAACTCAGGGAGGTAAGTTGATTATCCAGTTGAATTTGTGTAGCCTATATATATATATATATATATATATATATATATATATATATATATATATACAAGAAATTATCCAAAATACCGAATGGGCTTCTCATCAAAATGTTGATAAAATATGTTATTAAATTGGGATTGAATTTTTTGAGTGTACATTAATAATCAAAGTAGGCAATTAAATTATGAAGATGACGGTACAGAGTAGTCTACATGACTGTGCCAAACGATACCATAAATTTACTGTAAACATCTTGCCACCGGTGGCTTGGATTAATTGGAACAGTTTCCGACTGTTGCCAGATGCAGCAGCTGACTCCATCTCACACGCACGTTCTGACCACCAGGCTTCGCGGTCCTTACGCAGACACTGTCTTATCTTGCGCGTAAGTGCCTTTCGCTTATTGTTGTATTCGCTGCCAGCCGGAATGTAACGGCGTTCATCCTGGAGTTGCAAGGAACTCGCAGAAACCCAGTGGTTTTTAGCGGAGAATTCTTTCAAGCCGCAAGCGGCTACACTCGCCCTTTGCATGGCGCTTTGCAGATGAAGCCAATGTTCATCCATACTACTTGAGCAGTTGCTGACAAGCATTGATTGTAACTCATTCTGGTATTTCAAAGAAGTATCAGGTGCTACTAGTTTGCTCACATCAACGTTTAGATGACACCTTTTATGAATCCCACCAAATCGCAAGACGAACTTGGCACATACTAACGCATGATCGGAGTCCAGGCATGTGCTCCAGAAGGAGCGACAGTCTTGTATGCATCCTCGCCATCGGAAACTGACAGCAATACGATCAATCTGAGTCCAAGCTTGATTCGCAGAGGGAGGACGCCAGGTAGCGCTACGGCGATGGTTGTGCCGGAAGTTGGTGCTGGCTAGAAATGGGTTGTGATCCGCGTAAAGCTGGAGAAGACGTTCCCCAGTATCTGACCTGCAACCATGTAGGCCCCATTGACCACCTAGAAGATTCTCCTCTGAGCTTAGACACCCGACCTGTGCATTCAATTCCCCACCCAGCACTACGATGTCCCCCAGACCCGCCTGTTTCAAGAGATCGCTAAGTTCGTAGTAGAACTCATCCTTCATTGCACTCGGGCTGCAATCCGTCGGTGCATACACAAATGTGTATTTATACTTTTGGACTGATTTAATAGTTTGACTCATCGATACACAATGATCATTCATTGTTGTTGTTCGAAATTTTTCTCCATTGAATTTTAACGTAACTATTGACTTTATATATATCCAAACCAAGTTCACTTTTAACGGTTTGAAAAAATTTGGGCATTGGGTATATGATATTCATTATAATAGAGGTTTTTTGTATTTCCCAATGAATGAAAAAACAAAACGAGATTGTTTCTACTGACGTTTCGCTATTTAATGCTAATAGCTTTCTCAAAGTATTATTAAACCGGAATTTACAAAATCTCAGCATATATATAACAGAGTTAGGGGGTGAGAAAAATATAGACTTAGTTCAACTTAAAAGGACATATTGGAAGTCAAAATAACAATGAAGATCGTTCAAACCAAATATCAAAGGTAATAGTATATCTGTTATTATATCAAAATAAAGTTAGTAAACTTTATCCAGTTAGTAAAGTTAGTAAACTTTATTTTGATATAATAACAGATATACTATTACCTTTGATATTTGGTTTGAACGATCTTCATTGTTATTTTGACTTCCAATATGTCCTTTTAAGTTGAACTAAGTCTATATTTTTCTCACCCCCTAACTCTTTGTTATATATATGCTGAGATTTTGTAAATTCCGGTTTAATAATACTTTGAGAAAGCTATTAGCATTAAATAACAAAACGTCAGTAAAAACAATCTCGTTTTGTTTTTTCATTCATTGGGAAATACAAAAAACCTCTATTATAACTATTGACTTTCATTATTCCACTTGTAAGAAGCTGACAAGATACCAACTGTCTGTCTGTCTGGATTCAACATAGAACTTGGCACCGAAGTGCAGCGGTTCGAGTTGCCACGTTCCAATTGGCACACAAGGTAGACAAGAAGATGATTGAAGAGAATCAATAGAGTTTGACAAATATAAGAGTGAAACAGAATGGGTAATTGTAGAAAGGAATATGAAAGATTACAGAGACTGAATGCATCTGCGCCATTGACAACGAATTTTAGCCATGTCACCTATTGTCTCCAGCCATTGATTCCTAGAGTCCCGAGGGCCCCAACCCGGGAGTCTGCATCTCCCTACCTGACTCAGTTTAACTGTCAAGGATTTCATGGATTGATGAAGCCATGTTTTTGTTTGGCCACCACTGGCTCTTTTCCAACCTTCACCTATGTCAGCTAGCAAAGCCCGTCGGGGGAGGCGGTGGTTAGGCATGCGCAGCACGTGACCTAGCCATCTTAGTCTATGTAACTTTATAGCCTCGTCGATTGATTTTCCCTCTTTGCCCAACACTCTACGCCTAACGTCAACATTACTTATCTTGTGAAACCACCTAACGTGAGACAGAGATCGCAGACTTACTTTACTTCGGCTATCTCCTACGGGAGGATGAGCCGGCTTCATGAACGTCTCGAATCATCGCTGCCCAGGCGCGGCGATCTGAAGCAAGGTTTTGCGATAGGGATATCCAATTCTTGTTCCACATACGGAGTCCGTAGACCGTTTGTAGCCCCAGGCACTCCATATCTGCCTTGACTGTACCAAGCCATGTCTTCAGCTGTCCGCCTCTGCGACATCGCCAAGATGGTAATGGCGAGGGATTTAGAACTGATTTGACCAGATCGTCATCTGGTCGGCGCAGAACATGGCCAAACCACCGAAGGCGGCGTTGTTGGACCAGTACTGGAATTTGGTTGATGTTGTAGCAACGCCGACGCACTTCTTCGTTGGAGAGTTTGTCCTGCCAACGAACATGCAGAATGTACCTGAGACACCAATGGTCTAATACCTCGAGTCTGCGTAAATCTTCCGCGCGAAGAGGCCAGGTTTCACAGCCATACAGCAGAACGGGTCGTATGGAAGCTTGGTAGACCCGAATTTTAGTCCTGAGACTGATTTCTCTCTTGCTCCATAGAACGCTCCTCAGCTGTAGAAACGCATTCCGGGCGTTGGAGATTCGCGCATTCACTTCGTTTTTCGCTTGGCCGTTGGGGAGCATTATGGATCCCAGATATCTGAAGGATGGCACAATTTCAATAGGTGCTCCATTTAGGGATAAGATTTCATCATTGCCGGTGGATGTGTTCGAAAACATTTTGGTTTTGGAAGTGTTAATTTTCAAACCGATAGTAGGCGCGAGGTGGTTTATCTGGTCGAGCGCCTGTTGCATATCGGGGAAGTTTTCAGCTAACAGCACGACGTCGTCGGCGAATTCGAGGTCGGTTATGTGAATATCGGGCGAAAGTTGGACGCCGTGGTGCTCGGTTAGGGCGTGCCGCAAAATCCAATCAATTGTGAAATTGAACAGGATGGGGGATGCTGGACAACCTTGCCGGACACCGCTGGTTACCTCAAAAGTGCGGGACTCTTCACCGTTCACTCGGACTCGAGCTTTGGTGTTGGAGTAGTATGACCTGAGCAGGTTGATTAGCTTGGTCGGAACTCCGTCGAGCTCCATTAGATACCAGAGTGCTCCTCGATCAACTGAGTCGAATGCCGCTTGGAAGTCGATGAAGCAAGCAACCGTCGGCTGTTGGAATTTGTCCCTGTGTTCCAAAATTCTTCGCAGTGTGAATAATTGATCAACACAGCCTCTTCCAGGTCGAAATCCGGCTTGATTTGGCCTTGTTCGCACGTGGCGTTCGGCCGCGAAGCGGTTCAGGAGAATGGAAACAAAAACCTTAGCAGCGATATCAATCAGACTTATGCCTCGGTAGTTCTCGCATATTGACCTGTCTCCCTTTTTGTGGAACGGTAGCAGAACTGAGGTGCTCCAATCGGAAGGAATGGTTTCGGACTCCCAAATTGAGCAGAACAGCGAGTGCAGTGCATCGATTAGCGCTGGAGTGCAGGCCTTGTATATTTCTGGGGGTAGACCATCTTCGCCCGGAGCTTTTTTGTTTCTGAGTCTGTTAATTGTTTTAGCTATTTCGGTTGGAGTGGGTGGATCGCAGTCAACTACGTAGGGTGTTGGTAAGTGTCGTATCGGTCGATGAGACGGTTGACCAGCGTCGCGATTGAGTAGCTGCTTGAAGTGTTCGGCCCATCGTTCCATCTTACCATTGGTGTCCGAAATAATTTCTCCTGATGCTGTGCGTAACACAGCATGACTGTTAAGGCGTTTGCCAGATGATTGGCGTAAGAGGCGATAAAGTTTTCCGAAATCGCCTACATTTGATGCTGCTTCCATGTTAGTCGCCACGTTAGACCAATAGCGATTTCTGTCGTTCCTAGCAGACTGTGTAGCTTTGCGCCTGAGGGAGCGATAAACTGGAGACTTTGCTAGGCGAGCGTCTCTGGCTTGCGAGGATAGAAGCATGGTGTGCTCTGAAATCCAGTCTTTCTGCTTCTTGGATGTGGTACCCAAATGCGACATTGAAGCTTTAGAGACTACTTCTTTGAAATGATTCCATCGTGTCTCGGGTGTATTAGAAGATGTGGATGTTGGTTCATCTGCGGTGCTTAGTTCGGCCTGGATTTGTTTGGACAAGGCTTGTCGTTTTGTAGAACATTGAAGCGGGGCAACATTGATACGCTTCGGAGGTCGCGCCTTCTGGCGTGTCGTTAAACGAAGTTTGAATTTCGCCCTAACTAGAGTATGGTCTGATCCCCCTTTATTTCCGGCCTCTGCTCCACGATAGGATCGACAGTCTTCCACCGAGGAGATCCAGCGTGAGCGCACTAGGATGTAGTCGATCTGATGTGCAGTGCGACCGTCGTTCGAATACCAGGTGAGAAGATGTTTTCTGGGGTGTTGAAATCGAGTGTTGGTGATATATAATCGATTGTAATCAGAAAAAGATAAAAGTCTATCACCATTACGGCAGCGCTGATCGAGACCGTGTTTGCCTAGTATATGTTTTGTCGCGTCGTCTGAAGGGCCAGTGCGGGCGTTCCAATCGCCGGCTACTATGAGAACGTCACGCTTTGGGATTTTGTTGATTGCCTCTTGAAGATTGTCATAAAATTCGTCTTTGATACTTTCATCAGAGTCGAGGGTTGGGGCATAGACAGCGAGAACAGAAATGTCGAGCGGGGAACCCTTGAACCTAGCGACTGCAACTCTGGAGTTGACCGGTTCGAATGATATTAGGGCATTATTGGCTTTGTTACTGAGAGCAAATGCTACCCCATGTTGTCCCGAATTATTCTGGGGGCCACTATGAAGCAACCAGAATGAAGAATCTGTTCCAGGAACGGCTATTCGGCGGGAGCCATGATCGGGTAACCTCACTTCAGATAGACACGCTATGTCTACCTTGTAGTCATATAAAGAACGCATGGTGATAGACTGGCTACCAGGATCCAACAGCGTCCTAACATTCCAGCAGCCAACAAATAGTTGGTTTCTAAGTGTTAATTTCCCAGCTAGCTTACTTTTCACACTGGCCACCGGGTGAGCACAGGGCGCGTCGCTTACCGGGAACGCCGTAGCATGGTGAGAGTTGTTTGTAGGAGAGTTCATGAAGTTTCTTGGGAATTTGGTACGAGTGATGTCCCCAGCATCGCTCGGCCTTTTGTTTGAGAGTGCAGCTCTAGCCTTTACACAGCCAAGTGTGACCTACAAGGCAGTAGGAGTGGAGTAAGGAGTCCACTATCCATTGGCAGCCGGTGACCGGAGTTCGGTTCATACGCCTTTTTGAATGGGGCCAGACATCCAGGACATCCAACAAGCCCTTTGTCCATACGTCTGCCGGTGAGCTCCGGTGAGCTTCACACGCCAGTCGTTGAAGGTTTGGAATCAGGGTTTAGCCATCTCCCCTAGACTGTCATCCAATGGACAGTCAACCCGGTGGAGAGCGCCGGGCATCCGCTTTTGCCCTCTCACTTTAGTGAGAAACACCTCCGCCACGTGAAGGCAGTGAGTAGGACTTCCTCAGGAGAGGCTATGTAAGACGCACGGTCATATGGGAGCATTTCAGGAGGTGTGCGGAGGGGTGGCCAACCCGCAGCGCAAGACACCCACCCCCGACCATCCTGAGGCTTTGGAGGCATCTATGATCGAAAGCAGTCAACCTTTTCATGTCTTCAACGCGTATTGGCCATGTTTCAGAGCCATAGAGAAGGACGGAGCGAACTGATGAGCAGTACACACGTCCCTTGGTTGATAGCCGGATGTCACGCCTACGCCAGAGGTGGTGTAAGTCAGCGAAAGCAGCTCGAGCTTTTCGGATCCGTGCTGAGATTTCATCGCCAATCAGTCCGTTGGCGCTAATACAACTTCCCAAGTAGGTGAAGTGGTCAACATGTTCTATCACTTCCCTCCCTATCACTAAGTTAGGGGTTGACGGGGTCCAGTCCTGTAACAGCATCTTACATTTTGCAGGGGCGAATCGCATGCCGAACATACGAAGATTGCTGCTCAAGGTGTTCAGAAGACTCTGCATTTTTTCAGAATCCTCCCCTAACAGGACTATGTCATCTGCATATTCTAAGTCCATTAGATTATTCCCTGGTAACAAGTCGATTCCTAAGTCACTACGTTCAGTTAAGGATACTTCTATCAGCATATCTATGATGAAGTTAAGCAGAAATGGGGAAAGTGGACATCCCTGTCGTACACCACTGGTTGTTACCAATTCAGATGACAATTCCCCATAAGCCCTTACACGACTACGTGAGTTCGAATAGAGTGCCTTGATTAGTGCAATGTACTTTCTTGGCACTCCCTTCACAGTCAGACATTGCCATAGTACCTTTCGATCCACGGAGTCGAAGGCCGCCTTCAAGTCAAGAAATATGACAATTGTTGGACGCCGAAAAGTGTGTCTATGTTCTAGAATCTGTCGAAGAGTGAAGATATGATCTATGCACCCTCTACCTGGTCTAAAGCCTGCTTGATTTTCCCTTGTCTGTTCCTCCCGAGTTCTGCTTAGTCTATGCATGATTACTGAGCCTAGGATTTTAGAGACTATGTTCGTTAGGCTGATCCCCCTATGATTATCACACGAGGACTTGTTTCCCTTCTTGAATATCGGTATAATAAGTGACTTACCCCAGTCTGATGGCACTGTCTCTGATTCCCAGACTTTGCCTAGTACCTCAGTTAATCTACAAACTAGTATGTCACCCCCATATTTAAACACCTCCGGAATAATTCCGTCGGGTCCTGCCGCTTTGCCTCGTTTCAAATTACTGATAGCTTTTGTGACCTCACTTACAGACGGCGGACCAGTGTCTATATCCCATTCGGGTGTGTGTGGATGTTGGGGAGGTTCAGTGTGGCTGTAGGCAAGTTAAATTGTCCCTCAAAGTGTTCTTTCCAGCGTTCAAGGCGTCTATCCTGAGAGCTAATTAAGGAGCCATTTTTCTCAGAAATAGTCTCACTTATGAATTGCCTTCTCCCACCCGATTCTGTGATGAGTCTAAAGAGTTGCCTAGTGTTGCCTATCGCCGATGCTTTTTCCATCTCTTTTGCCTTTGTCAGCCACCACTGTTCACGGTCCTTGCGGAGACTTTTAGTAAGTTTCCTTTTGTGCAGCTTTCGCTCCTCATTGAATTCGGAGCTCGCCGGAATAAGTCTTCTAGCATCTATCAGTTCGGATGAGGCAGTCGAAATCCAGTGGTTTTTACTCACCTTTGGATTTGCCTTATTCACAGCTTTTACAGCTGTATCTATAGCTGACTGAATATTCTTCCAGGCTTCTCCAGGGTGAGCACAGCTGTCGAATTCAGATATGTGTTTAGCTAGTTCTTCCTCAAATAGGGATTTAGTTTCCTGATCGAGCTGGGGACGTGATGGTTTTACCGCCAGCTGTTTCCTACGTCCGTTCAGTCGTAAGCACACACGAGCCCGGACCAGTGCGTGATCGGTATCTACACACGTGTTCCAGAAGGAGCGACAATCTCCTACCGACCCACGCCAACGATAGCTTATTGCTATGTGGTCTATTTGTGTCCAGCGTTGGTTTGATGATGGGGGTCGCCAGGTTAAACAGTGTCTCTCCTTGTGTTTAAAGTTAGTGCTTACAAGAAACAAATGATTATCTGAACAGAACTGTAGGAGACGGTCACCGTTGTCGGTTCGCTGGCACGGAACTCCATAGGTGCCACCGACATCCTTCTCAGATTGACACAATTTCCCTACTTGAGCGTTAAAGTCACCAGCTAGAACGACTATATCTGAGCGTTTAGCCTTTCTCACCAAACTAGACAGCTTTTGGTAGAACTCATCCTTCGTTTCATCTGAACTGCAGTCAGTGGGGGCGTAGGCGGAGATTACGAAAAGGCATCGGCGAGTAGTGCAGTCCTTTCTCCTTCTTACTGATCCGTTCAGACGGACAGCACACATTCGGCTATCTACCGGGATCCAGTCAAGCAATGTCTTTTCTGCCCTAGTACTCAGAGCTATCCCTACGCCAGCTAATCCTCGTGAACTAGCTGTGGCATCTCCTGACACCCTCAAGGTGAATTTTGAAGATTCATCCTGTTGGCCAGGTGGGGTTAGGTGAATAACCACACTTGGGTCTTGTATGCGTGTTTCTGAAACACAACATACATCAATGGCTCGAGATGCCAGGGTCTTAGCTAGTGATGCTTGTTGTCCTATTTGGCAAAGTGTCCTAACATTAAATGCTCCTATATGAAATTGGTGGCGTGGCTTTAGGAGACTATCCGTGGTGGTTTTTTGGCTTTCGTCGTTTTTAGTGGACACAGAGTGAAGAGGGAGTGAGGAGCCATCAAGTAGAGGAGTTGCATCAGTGGAAGGAAGGCAAGGTAATAGAGATGAAGATGAAGACAAAGATAAGTGAGGATTAGAGAGGTTTTGTGTGTATTTCGGATTGTGAGGGCGTTTGTTACTTCCCGGCTGCCCACACCGTGGAAGTTGGTTGCGTGACCGCAGAGCCCAGGGGACAACTGCTTGAGGCCGGTCACACGCGGCCTGTTTTTGTTTGTTCTTTTTTGTTTGGTGTGCCTCAGTAGCATACTTATCACTCCCGCCCTGTGACACGGCAGCAGGAAGCGCGGTCGTTGTTAATCCGGGCCACGGCCGATCCGGCATGAAATTTTGTGAATTTGTTTGGATCATGGTATTGGATGAGGTAGCTGCTTTTTGTTTAACCGCTATCCAAACAACCTGCCTGGCATGGTAGAACCTCAAGAGACATAAGTCTCAGCCAGTATAGCTTGATTAGGTCATTGCGGTGTTCAAGCCCGACCACCACGTCAAGGTAGCAGCTTTCGGTCAGGATACCAACTGGATAAAATAGATCTGTTTTATTCTGCTCTATGTGTTTTTTTACCTGGCCTGTGTTTTAATTCATTCATGGTAATTGATGTATTATAGTCTCCATATTCCGTGATATCCAGTTATCAATCGAAGGATGTGTATGCTGCACGTCAGTTGTCTTTGCTGTTGTTTCTGTCTGTGAGACATAATCGTTAAAAGTGTAAATATATGAAAAGGTTAAATGTCTTTGATCATAAGTCTTCATGTATGGGTAGTATAATATGGTAGGTAAAATTGTGATTAGGCGAAGTGTTTGGTGGGGAGGGAGAGAGACAGAGATTGAATCGAAGAGATCACAAAGCTACATACATTAAGATGACTAGGTCACGTGGCACACATACCGAGCTATCATCTTCTTCGATGGGCACTATTAGCTAACATAAGATTGAGTTGGCGAAGAGGTAGGGGTCGTTAGATGAAAACGTTGCATCCATCCCTAAAGTGCGTGACTCATCGGTTTTAGCTATTTGTGACTGGTGACTGCCTGGCTGTGAGACATCCTGGAGATTGTAACAGTCAGTTTTCTGGCTACATAGCTCCATTATTTTTATTATATCCTTTAATTCCTAGAGGAACATAGGGCTTCACCTACGCGTCTCCATTGCCTTCGGTTTTCTGCCAACTTTTTCACCCCGCTTCAAGTCTGCCCACATGCTTTCATCTCCTCCTCACATGACCTCCTCCAAGTCACCCCACCGTGGGACGACCAACTCGCCGCTTCCCTTTCGGGTTCCACTCGAGCAATGGCTTGTCTAGTGATGTCACTTGATGGTTTATTTCCCCAGAGTATGACCAATCCATCTCCATTTCTTCCTGCCTATTTGTTTCACAATCGGTTCCTGCTGGGTTGGTTCGCTCATTGCCAGAGATCCCTGTTGCTGATCTTTTCTGACCGGCCATCTGATTTTGAGTATTGAGCGAAGACAACTGTTAATGAAGGTCTGTAATTTGTTTGAGATGTTCTTTATGACGCACTGGCCAGGTCTCTGATCCGTATAGTAGGTGGCACTGACTCCACATTGGAGTTGAAGATCCGGATCTTATTTTTGATGCTGAGTGCTGCTGACCTCTACACAGACTTAAGAGTAATGAAAGCTTGTCTTGCTTTTCCGATTCTGGCTTTGATATCCTCATCAGTTCCGCCCGCCTTTAGTTGAAACTATGCTTCCAGGTCGGCAGGTGAAGGAGGTTGTTTCTCTCAGGTTACTCCCATTTTTGCTGATTGTTTTCTGTTGTTTTTGTTGTTGTGGCTGTTACTGTTGTCCAGGAATCTTCATCACATCTGTTTTATCTATGTTCACTTGAAATCCCTCCTATCTTTGATGCTTCTTCTGCCAGCTTGTTGCTTTTCACCACTTGCATATCTTCCAGTTTGTGAGAAATCAGACATATATCATCGGCGAAGTCCAGATCCTCCAAGTTTTTTATGTCAGTCCATTTTATACCTGTTCCCTCGTTGGTTGCCGTTGTCTGTCGCATTATCCAATCTACTGCAGTCAGGAAGATCATTGGCAATAGTAGACGGCCTTGCCTCACTCCCGTCCTCACTTCGAAGGCTTCCGTAAGTTTCGCGTTGTGGATTACTTAGTATGCAGCACTGTCGTGTAACTGTTGGATGAGATGTATAATTGTCGATGGGACCCTGTAGTAGCGAAGTAGTTGCCAAACGACCACTCAATCGACGCTGTCGAAGGCCTTTTCAAAGTCGATGAAGTTGAGATATAGAGGTGACTGCCATTCCAAGCTTTGTTCAATCATCATCCGTAGAGTGACGACTTTATCAATTCATGACTTGTGTCAATCACGTCTCATAAACCGTTAATGCCCAGCTCTCGCTACGCTCAGGCCCACGCTGTTCTTCGAAGATTTCAGAAACGCTTAGTAATAACGGACGAAAAAACCAAAACACCGATTGGCCGCTTGAGATTTCTTTATTGTTACACCAACATATAAAAAGAATAAGTGAACTAAGGTCTGTGAACAAATATTACAATAATAAATCACAAGATTACTTCTGACGGTTTTTTGCTGACTTCTTTCTGAACAGCGACCGATGAGACGATGACTGTCGTATTGATGCCTCCGCGAAAATTGGGGAAGTTGGTTTTGAGCAAACAACCAAGAATTGATCGTTCAATCTTCAACTCCATTGACAACTTGTTTCTTTTGAATCCAGGTTGTTCCGGTCGGAGTTTTTCATCCAGATTGGCGTGTTTGATTTTCTCCAGGATGATGCGGCTTAGTATTTTGCTTGGGATGGACAGAAGCATAATTCCACGCCAGTTCTTACATTGACTTAAGTCTGCTTTCTTTGTAGTTTGAATAAGTATCCTTTCTTCCAATCCTCGGGTACTTTGCCCTCTTTCCACACCTTCTCCAGCTATGGCGTCATCAAGTCCGTTGTTGTCTCTGGGTCCATTTTCAAAGCTTCTGCTGGGATTCCATCTGGTCCTGATGCTTTTCCAGCTTTTAGCATCTTGATTGCATTCAGGACTTCTGATTTCGTCGGGGGGTCGATGTTCACTGGTAGATCTGCTTCCGTTGCTGGTATTGTTGGGCGCGTTGTAGGTAGCTCCAAGTGTTCCTCAATGGAATAAATGCATTTAAGCTTTGTAATCCCCTGGATATGCATCGCTGGCGCATAAGTAGAATGCACGCCAATCACGCATGTGGTTCGTGGTTCGATCTCTGGCCACGGACGCACTCCTTTACCTCGCTAAGCTGGTCATAAGACAGGTAAAGAGGTGAAGTTAGGTGCGAGACAAGTGGTCCCGCCCCATAAAAATAAAACATCACTCCTCCTGAAACTTCAAGCTCCAGCTTGAATCCCCATGTCCTACTGGGGATGTAAAGGAATAAAATAAATAATAATAGTATCCCGGATGCATTAGAATTCTATTATTCCCCAAGTAATCAATCTTTATCGTATACATTTCAGTTGAGTTTTATATTGTCGGCATTCTCTTTTTTTTATTAGCTTTGTGTGTAGTATATCAGGTTTTGTAAGCTTTGTACAATTTAGTACGCTTACTTCAACCAAATGCTCACTTTAATTACGTTGACTTGCCCAACCAAGAGTCAGTGTAATATGCTGTTAAAAAAGCAATACACAAACGCATTTGATCGCTGATTTTCACTATTTTCTGACGTGTGTTACATTATTACATTACCTACATGCACACGCTTATTTTGTTCTTATGACATTTACACTTTTAGGTAGTCAAGTACAACAGTTTTGTTCACACGGTACGCGTATTGAATGTTCTAAGGTTAAAGCACGTACTGGTGATAAAGAAAAGTGTACAAAACTACATTTCCGTAAAATTATCCATCCACATACTGATGGTAAGTTAGTTATAAGCATTAAACAGCAGGTGAATGTTGTATTAATTGTTTTTATCTTTCTTTCTGTCTATCTCTTATTTGTTCCACATAACATATGAATATATAGAGAGGACAGCAGCCATAGACTTTCTAGTTAATTAGCTTTTCAACTAGGATTAAGCCGAGTTCTAATCTCATTCCATCTATCGTATTCTGTTGTATAAAGCTTAACATATCTAGTATGCATGACATACAGTCGTCGGTTACATCTGTGTTAATCGTTGACAGTAGTACAACAGACTATTAATAATGCATTGATGTTCTTTCTAGATATGTCCTAAACATCATAGGTCAAAGCTAATTTATTATTATGTTATTCTCCCATTCCTTGCATTCCAAAGGCGGTCTTCAGTACTTGAAGTTCCACCGTCTATAGTACACAACTCTCCTTTCTTTTCAAAGATTACTACCGGCTAGTAAACGACCGTAAAATTTCAGAGTTCATCGGTTGGAAATTGAACCTGAATTTCCTTTGTGTGGGAAGGTGTGAGCTCATTCTACCATCGATGCATGTAGTTTAGAACTATTCATCATCCTGAGATTTTTATTTTAGAACTCGGCATCATAGTTAATCATTTTTTTTGTGTTCTTATTTTTATAGAATCTCTAGGAGACTGTTCATTTCTCAATACATGCTTTCATGTAGACACTTGCAAGGTATATTTCTGTAATTGCAATTTATTTATTTATTTTCTTTTATGCAAGAAATTTATTATTTCAATCCAATCGGTGTTACGTGTCCTATTTGTTTATTACTTAACTTAATATACCTATTTGTATGTGAATATACAAACCCAGGATATACGTGTATGAAGGATTAACGATACAATGAAATACATATAAGAGACCTAAGCAACAGTACTTTTACTGCATGAATGAATCGAATGTCTGTCTGTCTGTTTTCGACATAGAACTTTGCTCCGATATGCGACAGTTCAAGTCGCCACACTCCATATAGCACATAAATCAAGAGAAGAAATGCATCATAGAGGCAGTAAACAGAGGTGTGAGACAAAGGAATAGTAATAACGAAGAACAAAACAGTCTCATTGGAAATCATAAGTCACAGGGAGTGGATGCATCTGCACTAGTCATTGAGAACGATTATGACCCATATCACCAATTGCTTCCAGCCATTGGTGTTGTTTATCGTCCCGAGGACCCCAACCAGGAAGTCTACACCTTCCTACGTAACTTAAATCAACTGTTGTAGCTTTCATTGGCTGGTGCTGTGCTTCAGTTTGACCGCCGCTAGCTTTTCTCCAGCCTGACCCTATGTGAGCTAACATTGCCCGTTGAGGAAGGCGATGACTAGGCATGTCTAACACGTGTCCTAACCATCTCAGTCGATGTAACTTCACAACCTCGTCGATTGATTTCCCCTGTTTACCTAGAACTCGACGCCTAACTTCAATATTGCTCACCTTATTATACCACTTCGCACGGGAGATAGAACGCAGGCACCTATGATCAAAGACAGCTAATCTTTTCATGTCTTCCACTCTCAGTGGCCAGGTCACACTCACAGCCATGAAGGAGGACGGAGCGGACTGATGAGCAGTACACCCGATAGCCAGCCAGTCGGACATCACGTCTACGCCAGAGACAGTGTAAACTGGCATATGCGAAACTAGCCCTCTGTATCCGTGCTGAGATTTCGTCAGAGATCAACCCGTTAGCGTTGGATGATGGTACTTCATAAATGAGTGAAGCGGTCAACGTGCTCTACCACTTCACTTCCTATTTCTAATCTGGGAGTCGGAGTAGTCCAATCCTATAACATCCTCTTGCATTTGGCGGGAGCGAATCGCATGCCAAACATTCGTAAATTGCAGCTCAAGGTGTTCAGAAGGCTCTGCTTAGTTTTTTCAGTGTCCTCGTCTAGAAGGACTATATCGTCTGCATATTCTAAGTCAACAGGATTATTCCCTGGTAGCAAGTCAATCCCTGAGTCTCTGAAGTGAGTCAGGGTTAAATCCATTAGTACGTATATGAATCGAATGGATTTTAGAAATAATACAAGAATACGATTGGTTGATCAAAGGACTACACATTACCAGCAGAGGATATTCGAGGTAAAGTGGAAGATTCCATAAACTGCCATTTAGTTTGCTTTATCAGCAAAAAAACGCATCGACTGTATTTAGTCGATGATATGCATGAATTTATACATGTACATAGACTTGAAAATTCTAAAATAGGAGCGTTAATTCAGTGTCAAGCATTCATATTAACAGACGAGTTTCACTCATTTATGACAAATGACTTAACTAAGTAATGACTAGCAGCGCCGTAACTCGGGTACAACAATCAACGAGAAAGTTACTTCGTCATCGCCAATAAAAACACTACAGTTTTAAATGCCCATTACGCTTAACACGTGTCCACCTACCGTCCGAACTGTTAGTAAACACAGTCTAACGCTTTGGCATAGATTACTATATATTAGTGAGACTCCTGCCCCTGTATCTATTTAAACATTACCACTTCTTGGCCATACACCTTACACTTACATCTTAGAATACATGGCCCTCGTCTCAATAGCTCCTATTACTTCTAGTCTGATAGGAGAGAAAAAACACACATTGTACTGTCTGAAATTTTTCCTTCTCCTTTTTCCTGGGTAGTGCCTCCTCCAGTGTCCTTTTTCGTCACATTCAAAGCATCGCTGTTTCCTCGCACTAATTCGTAGTGCCGCTACTTCATGCTGCAAAATCTTCAATTTTCTGCTCCCATTCATTCAATTTCGGTGGCTCTATTGCGGTTACTGTTGTGCTCAACAGCTGTCTGTTCACCTCTCCTCTAGGGCACTGATGTTCATGTGATGTGTAGCGTTAACCAGTTGTAATTCCTGAGAAGTGTGGTCTGGGACACTCTCGATGAACTGGGATGTCAGTAACTGCGACTCCGACTCTTCATCCAATGTGGGGAGTGCACGACGTAGTAGAGTGGTCAGCTTCATCGCTAACACTAGCGGCACGGAACTGCTGCATCTCCAGCTGCCTGTCCACCGGGATGTCAAACTCTACCACCAATCGTTCCACTAACACAGTCATGGAACCGGCTGAAAGTGACTGCATTGTAGTGTTGTGTTGCTGCTGCCCTATTTTCCACTGGGAATGCATGGGATGACGTATTATTACTATTATTATTGTCGTTTCTTACCCCTAAATTGTATATTTTTCCCTTTCAGTACGTCCATTACACAATCGATTATACAGGCAGTATTCACGCATCACGTTCAGCAAATAATAATTCACTAAATACTGGTCGAAATAACAACCGTGTGATGAATGGGAACTATGAGACGGGAAAATCACAAACTAGTAATGCAGGTTCAGTAGATCCAACTGGTGCTACAAAGGAGAATGGTGCCCCGTTAATCTTATATCCACCACAGGCAAGCAGTCTAAATCGTGGTTTTTTGTAAAAATTCTGTCACCTGGGTAGCCAGATTAAAGCGGTAGTGTTACCCCGTGCGGAGTATTCCTTCCCTTTGTAAACACAATAGATATTTGATTGATTGAGACGTCGAATACTCGAGTTTAGCGAGGTATAATACTGTCATACTTATAGATGTCCCATCCCACAAAAACGACCTGGTACAGCCCGGGATGCGTAGATTTCGATCTCCCTCTTGAAATGCTATTATGTGACCGTACGTGCATAGCCTCTGTCTGATCAGTCCTGTTTACTGCCTTCACATGGTAGTGACGTTTCTCAAAAAAGTAAAACAACAAATGTTGAAGCTGGAAAACCCTAGTTCCAAACTTTTAGTGTTCATGTGCCTCAAAATCTGTAAGGATCGAAGGGGTGTGTGAACCTGATTTGTTTACCGGCAACCGATGGGGACGCAGCTCCACTAGCCTAGAGATCAGATTTCGAGCTAAAGGCTCAGAGAGTGACCACTTAAGACAACCATCTGCTTCGGTCTTAGTGTCCGGGATGCATCTCAGCCCTGGCACAAACTATGAGATTTTGTGTACAGCATCACCAAGTTTGTGTTGTTAATAAAATAAATAAACATACATGCCTAAAGAAACTACTTCAGTTATTGTATTGATCCTGACTGATAGGTGGGTCCAAGCCGTGCGGGGAAGGTTTATCTTATTTGTTTAAAGTTATTGATGTGTTAGGAACTGTAGCGATAGATAAGTCTCCAAAATTATTAGCCCCCGCATTCATCACTGAACATCGGTTGTTGACCGTCACTGTTTAAGTCGCCTTGTCCAGCTGAAGGCTTAATATCAAGTATTCACACCGTCGTGTTACGTTCGTGGACGATTCCTAGCTAGTCAAATAATCATCATTGCTCTACGATTCGGTCCCGAAACGTACTTCGTAATTTGGACGATCATTTTTGGTGTTTTGCTTCACCTTTGGTCTCCGCGGAACGAATACTATAGAAGTTGTGGGTATCAGATCTTGCCGTAGTACTATCCGTTAGTGTCAACACCCTCAGCCTCTAAAGAATGCCTAGTTGAACACTATCACAAATAAAGCAAATACATTCACTGGTAATTTCCTTCGAAGTTGTAAATATTCAGTAATGTTTTGTGAAATGAAACAAAAGATCTGAGGACAGAATCTCGTATTGTCAAACGACCGTCAACAGCAGGATGCTGAAATTTAGTCAGTACTAAAAACGCTTTTAGATTTTTCTTAATCTCTACAGATGAATAAACATTCGATTCTTTTCTACTATACAGCTATTGGTGTTACCTAGCTACAGATGCATCTCCCTTTTTCCAAATGAGTTAACAAATAATAGCTAGTATAACCAGCACATTAAATTTTTTTTGTTTGCTAAAATCAGCTTTCGCTTCTTTTTATTTTCAGTGGATTAATTGTGACATTCGACTAATAAATATGTCAATTCTCGGGAAATTCTCTGTTATTATGGCTGATCCACCATGGGATATACACATGGAGTTACCGTATGGAACAATGTCAGATGATGAAATGAGGCGTTTAGATATACCATGTCTACAAGATGATGGTTACATATTCTTGTGGGTCACAGGCAGGTTAGTATTGTTTTATTTTCTGTTGGCACCTCAGGGATATGGAGTTATTTTCCCGAGCAAATTTTGACAACTCAAGTGTTGATTTGTAGGGATTTGATTGGATACAAGATTTCATCATGAGCTGACATTAGTTAAAGAACCATTGGAAGACCTGGGACTCTTCATCAGTACGCACCCTACAAACCAACACTTGAGTATCAATTAGATGCTCACTAGCAAATTGGCCTATCCAGGTAGGTAGTTACCTGGGGTTTCTAGTGAGAAGTCGTAACCAGTAGGGTGCAGCACGTCGGGTGTGAGGACAAATACTCGCCGAAGACATTGGCTAGGGGTCGCGCTATGTCATGAATTGGCAGAAGTTAGAATTCATGGGCCATTGGATCGGGTCCCAATGTCTTAGTGGTATACGAGCTCGCCTAGTAACCAGAAGGTCCTGGGTTCAAACCCCGGTGGGTTCGTACTGCTGAAGAGTCCCAAACTAGGACGAAACAGCTATCCAGTACTCCCAGGTTTTCCAGTGGTTCTCTAACTGATGTCAGCTCATGATGAAATCTTGTAAATTTTAACAATGTCTTCAACACACGAAAATACTACTGTGTATATTAAATTGTGTAATACTCACAGCACACATCAGTCTGCTATGCGCATAACTCTTCTTTTACAGAGCTATGGAACTTGGCCGAGAATGTCTACGTTTATGGGGTTATGAACGTATTGATGAGATTATTTGGGTTAAGACTAATCAGTTGCAACGTTTAATCAGAACAGGTCGTACAGGGCATTGGTTGAATCATGGCAAGGAACACTGTCTAGTTGGTGTTAAAGGTAATCCAAAAGTAAGTCAATAAAAATGCACAACTTCATAATCTTTTCTGTAATAATCAGTGACTCTCATTTCGCTGAAATGTTTCAATTTGTAATGAAACATCTTATATATTTTTTGTATGTTTTCACAAATCTCTAGGGTGTGAATAAAGGTCTGGATTGTGATATTATCGTCTCTGAAGTTCGTGAAACAAGCCACAAACCTGATGAAATCTACGGTATTATTGAAAGATTATCTCCTGGTACCCGTAAATTGGAACTATTCGGACGTCCTCATAACTTGCAGCCTAACTGGTGAGACAATATATTATTGCTTTTTAAAGGAGGCGCACATTAAATTATGTGTACATCAAACTCTCCTCATCAATATTTTTCTTAGAGTATCCTGTTTAACTAATGAATGGCATATGCGTGTAGTTAGTCTTAAGAGATAGTTTAATCGATATTTAGGGTTACAAAGGAACCGTAGGAAGTCCTAATGGTTGAATAGCAATGTACGCTTACCTCAATACTGGATATTCCTGCACATTTTACAAGTGCACTTTGTCGAAGATTTTCCTGAAACAACTGCCCAATGCTGTCTGATTTGCAGTGCTTCAGTAGTTACTCTTAATTTTGTAACTTAATCCACCTACTGATTTGCAACACTGGCTTTGACTTTTAACCAATAAGTTGTGGGTTTGAATTCAGCTCAGCTAGGTCAACCATGTTTAGCTAAGTTGAAGTATTATAAGTATTACAGATGGACTAATTCTCTAATGATTGATCGTAATCCTAAACAAAATGAATACATAATTGATTTTTGGTTTATCTGACGGGTTTAGAAACTCAAAATTTGCGTCTTGTACACCATATTACTCTAAGGTTTTGCTGTATTTCAACTTGTAAGTTGTCCAACAGTTCTGGTTAAGTGAAATGAAAACCAGGTACGCTTCAATTCCCTCCCCCTCCCCCCCCCAACACACACACACACACACAAACTCCCCAATTCAATTTTAGCTCAGTGCTCACAAGTAAGTAGTTTTGATGAAATGGATTTCCTTAAACTTATCTTGACAATCATCCGTGGTATTCAATATGGTCAGCTAAGTGAATTGTGAGGAAACTTATCAGAGCGACTGTGCTGTGCCGAAAATTGGCGGAAGTTGAGAACCACAGATCATTCCATTTTTACTGGTTAACTGCGAAACTTGTCTGTCTGTCTGGATTCAACATAGAACTTGGGACCGAAGTGCAGCACTTCGAGTTGCCACGTTCCAAATAGCAAACAAAGGTAGATAAGAAGATGAGTGGAGAGAATTAATAGAGTTTCACAAGTATGAGAGCGAAACAGAATGGGTAATGGTAGCAAGAAATATGAAAGATTACAGAGACTGAATACATCTGCGCTACCCATTGACAACGATTTTGAGCCATGTCACCTATTGTCTCCAGCCATTGATTCCTAGAGTCCCGAGGGTCCCAACCCGGGAGTCTGCATCTCCCTACTTACCTGACTCAGTCTAATTGTCAAGGATTTCATGGATTGTTGCCATGTTTTTGTTTGGCTACCACTTACTCTTTTCCAACCTGCACCTGAATCAGCTAGTAATGCCCGTCGGGGAAGGCGATGGTTAGGCATGCGCAGCACGTGACCTAACCATCTCAATCTATGTAACTTTATAGCCTCGTCGATTGATTTTCCCTCTTTGCCCAACACTCTGCGTCTAACGTCAACATTACTTACCTTATTATACCACTTTGCGTGAGAAAGAGATCGTAGACATCTATGATCTGCAAAACTTGACTATTCTGGGTGCAACTTTACATAGGACCGTTGTTAAACAACTAGGAAGGGCGCTCCCCATCCGCTTTTTCCTTTAGTAGATGATTTTAATTTGTGATAAGGAAGTGACTTAAAGTTGAATCTGTTTACCCTTCAAGTTCATATGTGTATATTTATCAAGTAATGCATTTTGGCATTGAATGCTTTAATTTCAGTAGGTATTTGCAACGCGAGAAAATTCATATTACTAAAGCAAATACTAATCAGTGACATACTATTCACAAATAATACGACCTCTAAATTGGTGGATGAACTCAGGTTATTATTTTGGCATCAGTCTAGCGGTTAGGATTCCTGCCTTTCACCCAGGCGGCCCGGGTTCGACTCCCGTCGCGGGACTGCTTTCCCAGCGGATAACTGCTACTTTGTCGTGGTGGTCGGGCTTGAATACCGTAATGACCCAACATGCTAAACTGACTAGGACTCTGTCCCTGCAGGTCCTACCATGTCAGGAAGGTTGTTTGGATAGCGGTTAAACTAAAAGCAGTTACCATAGGGTACATGGGCTCCAGTATCCAATCGGATCAAAAGGCGTATGAACCCATATGGGTCACCGTCAACCATGGGAATGCAGCTCCTGACGCTGCTCCGCTGCCTCGCGGGTTAGACTACAAGTCAAAGGCTCTTGGGGTGGTCCCTTAATAAAACCACCTGCTTCGGTCTGGGCGCCTAGGCAGTATCTCAGCCTTCACAAAATGAATTGAATAAAGCAACAAACAATCAATGAAACTTATCGCGTGCTATTACACGTGTTGCAATTTCCTTCTTTCTTCCCTTCCCGATGATAGTTAACGAATGCTGTTTGAACCTGTTAAGCATGACTGTTTTCCTTCCAGATGAAGTTCTTTATGCGTTCTCTACTTATATTTATATATTTATTCTCTTCTTTCTTTTTCTTTTCATCTATGTTGTTTTATTATTATTGTGTGGCGCATCCTTCTTGGTGTACCAAGTTTTTATGCGTTTAAATAAATAAATCAGTATGCTATACGAATGATATTTACTTTCTTGTAAAAGCAATTAATACATAAAGCTACTTAGTTAAATACCAGATAATTAGTGACTGTATGTTTATCAACCGTAACATTCTCAAATTGTTCATTCATTTCTGTAATTACACAGGATCACACTCGGCAATCAACTGGATGGAACGTATTTAGTAGATCCAGCAGTCGTTGAACGATTCAAAAAACAATATCCAAACGGTTTAGATGAAAAAGCAAAATGAAGCAATAATATATATATATATATATTCTAGAAAAAAATACTGTCAGAATAATACGTATTCTGAAGAAAAATGTATATGTATATATATGTACATTTTATGCATAAGACTAATGTATATAATAATATTAATATTTCTATGAGTGAGAGAGAGAGATTTTTTGTAAGCACATATGTTGTTACCTCCTCTTTATGTCTTCCATTTGACTATTCCTTGCACTTTACCTTAACTCATAAAGAATCTAATTCTTTACTTGTGATAGGTCTGTTTAAACCTTGCTGTATCCATGGCATATTTAATAAATCTTTTGTAGATGGACGTTGTTTTGGATTATAGTGTGTGCAAGCATTATAAATTTCTTCCAATTGGGCACTTGGTGGATGACGAGTATTATTCTTATATGAATAATAAAACAAAATAAACATAAACAGCAGATAATAATACTGCGACAATAATACAAACATAATGAAATAATAAAATTATTGCGGCGAAAAAAATGAAGACTGCTTCTTGACAACATCATTGTGGTTATTTGTCTTATGACTATGATTTCAGGCTATCATTTCCATCTTACCACCTTCTCTAGTTTACCTTATACTTTCAAAATCTAAAATAGCAACTTGAACTGGTAATGTCCAACAGGATCTGGTCTTAAATTTATGCCTACCTTGGCATGTAGATTGCGTCTAAGCGTTCATATCAGTTCGTGCTGTTGATAGTTTGTGAAAAAGTGAATGGTGTGCATTTGCACACATTAAGATTTAACTAAGTTGAGTGACTAGGATAATGAAGGCGCTGGTTAGCATGTTAGAACCTGAGATAGTTCAATCACACTAAAGTAAGCCTTCCATTGTTCTTCTCTAATAGCTTTAGGTACCAATCCGCTTGCCAACCGACATTGTGGTTGAATCTGCATGTCTCAATGATTTAACGAACAACACTGGCTGAGGCGAATACCCGTGCTGTTCCACTGTGGGGAAAGTGGCTGAAAAACGTTTTACTCTGTGGTGGTCCGCAACCACTGGTAACATTTCGGTATAGATACAACTCCAAAAGCTGCTTCAAAACAGATTCTGTGTGACCAGCATCAAACACTTGTCATCTACGGTTCTGTGGTCACTAGATACGAATTCCCCTTTTCCTTCAGCTTTTTCAAGAGGAAATCAACTTTTGCGATGCAAGAAGTAATAAACACACACACTATAGATATTACATTTGGGTGACGGAGCGAAATGCTTGAGTGTGCTGACTCCACGTATTTGGGAAGATAAATTAACTAACTGCTGATGAAATCTCAGCTACGGTTTATGAGACTCGTACATATTTGCCAACTTACGTTATGATTGATGCAGACGTTCCCGGCTATCCAACAAAGTACGTTTGTATTGCTCGCCATTTAGCTCCGTCGTTTTTTTACAGCTGAGACATGGTTGCCGAAAGTGAAGATATGAAGAGGCTATCTGTGTTTGACCGTAAGTACCCGTAATTACTGGTATAACATTGGAATTGAGCGATTAGTTAGGTGTATCAATAAGGTTGTGAAGCCGCATCGACTTTTATGATTATAACGTGTGTTAGGCATGTTGAACCACTGGCTTCCCCAACGAATAGTTTTAACTTACATAGGGTTAAATTGGAGAAGCGTTAGGGGCGATCAGGCGGAAACGTGGCATCAATCCATAGAGAACTAGGCTGCTGGTATGAGTCATGTAGGATGCTGTAAACTGACTAGCTGGGGTCCTCAGGATACTAAGAATCAACTGCTGGTGAAGGTCCGAAGGTATTCACGGTGTAATCTCCAGAAACTATTAGAATCGCCATGTAACTTTTAATTCCCGCCTTAGTGCATTTTGCTTGCAACCGTTTTTCCCATTTTGTTGTGTGTTTTTATGAAGTGTGGAAACTTGAACTGCTGCATTGTTGTGCCGCAAAGTTCTACGTCGAAAATCCAATTCAGAGATTAACTTGATTAATAGCGTCTGAGACTCGAAACTCCACAATCCTATGTAAATGAAGGGTTTTCAGGAAGAAGCCATAAAACCTCACAGTTTTCAGGTCAAGAGTCGTGTCAGTTGACCAAGTCCCCGATGGGGACAATCACATCTATAGTGCTTGACTCTATCAGTCGAGAGATATCACAGCTGTCTGGTTGTGAATAGTGTGGTGAAAAAGTACCAATCACATATCATAAGACTGTGTAAAATTGGAATAAAAGTCATAGCTAGCCAAGAAAGATATCTGTACTTTTTGCGGTCTCTAAAACTTTTATATTTACGATGACTTGATGATTACCTTTCACATGCTGCAAACTTCAAATTAATTTTTCATCACTATAATGAGGCATTTTTCAATTGACTTCCTGGAATGCAATAATAGCTAGTTGGCCCCTAAGACTTTATATATATATATATATATATATATTATTCATATACATAAAACAACTAGGACTTACACTAGAAAGCTGAGGGAAATCCAAATGAAGCATTTTCTTCAAAAAGATTAAGGAAGGGGGACATCCAGCGTAGGGTGGTTTGCCAGTGAACATTTCATATAGAATGAGTCCTAAACTGTATACATCTGGAGACCATGAATATCCGGTGAAGTCTTGTGATAATAACTCAGGACTGTACCAAGCTACCGGATGGCTGTATGATGACTGACTTTCGGATGACTCGGGGACCCTCCAACCACGCCAGGCAACATAGAGGAAGGGTAAATCGTTTCGTGCCACAGAACTCCAGGTTGGAGGTAGATGCGCCATACTTCCAAGGCCACAGAGAACAACCTCCACCTCATCGGACTGTGAGCTGGTGGCTAACTTCTTGCGCAGAAGAAGATGCTTGCAACACAAACCACGGTGAAGCAAGCCACTGCTATGCAACTGGTCAATGCAAAACACCGCTCGACTGAATATAGCACAAATCAAGTCCTCATTGAATCTATCACATTTTTTAAGCAAAATGTCACGTACAGACCCATAGTCACTGAGGGGATAAGATAATGTCAACGAAGTCTTGCTTAAACGAATACTAGAGGGTATACTTAAGTATGTGTGATTTATTCGAGAGTTCAGTGTTGCAGGTTCACTATCCACACGATTGCACGACAAGTTCTGAATCATGTTTATAAAGTCGAGAAGTGTTGAAAGACTAGGTCTATCACAGACATCCAAATAAATTTCTTTTGACCATAATTTTGATTTCACGTCAATGTGATGCTGAACTGCAGGCGGAGCATTTTCACCAAAAGGTGTGACTGAATGTTCATTAGTCGGGTTATCTAAGGATGATGACCTGTTAAAAGCATAAAGACAATAACGGAGAGCCACATAGCTTACATGAAAGCCTCATCGCATATCATCCCCAATAGTGTCGGAACAATTGAAAAGGCGCTTTCAAGGTCACGTATAATTTCGGGTGTTCTCTGTTGGCTACTTAACATAGGTGCAGTCAAGATGTTATTTCTCCGGATCACCCCCGGAGTAACTGGGGTTGATCTTACAATACATAAGAAACGGTTATCAAGTGCAATATCATATCTGTAATGCTTAGTACATTATCCTAGCGATTATGAGACTTGCAATAAGTTGTGTTCTCCAGCAGAAAAAGAAGATAAAAGTATTACCATTTACAAGATAAATTGTATGAGCTGTAACAGACTACATCGGCCAAAGTGGGTGTCGCCTTAGAATTACAACCCAAGAACACAAATTAGTTGTTAAAAGACAGGATATATGTGGAGTACGTAACAACGTGATTGTACACTTTTTGGTTATTTGTAGAAATTAGAGATATTGTACATGATTTTTGTTTAAAACGCTTCTTGTTAAAATATTCTTAACTTCCGTGGACAATTGAAAATACACTCTGCTGTTGGAGACTTCGTCTTCTCCCTGGTCCCTTCTGCTTACTTGCTCCACTCACACCGTGTTGTATACTTCGGATTTATTGTAGGAGTCTACTACTCTCAACCGAAGACATTTCTACAACCGGAACACAGCAGGCGCAACCCAAACAATTAACGTACTCGTGGATTATATAAATAATTTGTAGCAGAGGACTTATACTTTATAACCAAGTAATCCTTTTTGTTGATATAACTCGTCACTGCATTTTTGGTAATATATTGTTCTTTATTTCATTGACTTGGATTATCATTCTTATATTTGTAATGTTAGTGAACTCTAGTATAAGTCCCCTACAAATTAATTGGTGAGCCCGATAAGAACACGGATTATTTTGGCATATTCATATTCTTATTTTTGCTATTTTGTATATTCATTGTGATTTTGTGTGTGGTTTATATTTGTATCCTAATTTGCACCAATAACCTCATATTTATAATGTCATCACCTCAGTCCGGTACATCAAACGAGCAGACAACTAATAGCGAGACAAATGCCACAATAAATGCCATCACTGATTTTCGTTTACCTCAATACGGTTTCGCAGAACCAAGGATTTGGTTTGCGGTAATTGAACTGTTGCTAGAAGCACGGGGCATTAAGTCCCAAATAGCCAAATATGGTATGGTGCTGGCAGAACTCCCTCCGTCAGTATTGACAGAAATCAGCGATTTCATCGACGGAACATCAATTTGATAAACTTAAAGCCCTCCTCATACAACGTACCAGTTGTCGGATGAGAAAAGAATCCAACAATTGCTCACAGGCTGTGAACTAGGCCCATCCCAGCTGCTCAGGCACATGCGCCAGTTAATCGGACACCATAAAGTAGACGAGGTAGTGCTGAAACAGATGTGGTTGCAACGTTTACCTAGAAATGTCCAGCAAATTTTAATCATCTCAGGAAAGTCGTATGACTTAGACCAACTAAGTGACATGGCAGATAGTATTATGGATGTTTTATCTGATAACACCATAAGTCACGTAGCATCTGATAGTGCCACACCGTGTCATTCCACACCCACGGCAGACACACCGATACTCGCCGCCATTGCAGACTTAGCGGCAAGGATTGACAAGTTGGAAACTAATAGGTCTGATCGACGAGTCCGGAGACGGAGTTCACAAAGGTCACCATCACGACGACGATCCTTCTCACGACAGCGTTCTCACACGTCTTCTCGGGATAGTAATATATGCTGGTATCACTGGAAGTTTGGACGTCATGCCCTGAAATGTGTAAAACCGTGCAGCTTTAGCGAAGCCAACCAGGCTCAGGGAAACGCCTCAGCCAGACAGTGATGGCGACAGCTGTTACTGGCAAGCAAACAAGTCGCCTCTTCTATGTGAAGGACAAAACTTCAGACACTTTATTCCTGGTAGACACGGGAGCAGAAGTTAGCGTGATCCCTCCTTCACTATCCAGGCGATCTACACGGACACCCGGAAAACTGTCTCTCCGGGCAGCTAACCACACAAGCATACAGACGTATGGAGAGCAATCCCTCATACTGGATCTAGGTTTACGTCGGCGTTTCACATGGATTTTCATAGTAGCCGACGTCAGTCACGCCATCCTCGGAGCAGATTTCTTGAGTAATTTCAACCTGTTAGTTGACGTCAACAATAAAAAACTGATTGATAACAACACCCATCTAAAGATCCATGGAATTATCTCCAGCTATTCTGTCTATAATATCAGTATTGAAAGACCAGCAGATTGCCCTTTTTCCGCCCTACTTCATCGTTTCCCTAAAATTCTTAAGCCGTCGTACAACATCGAGGACGTCCCTCACACAGTCACTCACAAGATAGTTACTACGGGTCAACCAGTTCGTGCTCGTCCTCGTAGATTACCCCCGGACAAATTGGCAGCAGCCAAGGCAGAATTTGAACACATGATGCAGCTCGGCATCATCAGACCCTCCAATAGTCCTTGGTCTTCGCCCTTACACATGGTGCCTAAAGCTGATCATGATTGGAGGCCATGTGGGGATTACCGACATTTAAACAATGCCACAGTTCCCGACCGTTATCCTATTCCCCATCTTCATGATTTCTCCCTGACATTACACGGAAAAACCATTTTTTCTAAAGTAGACTTGGTCAGGGCCTATCACCAAATACCAGTTGCCCAAGAGGATATCGAAAAAACGGCCATCATCACACCTTTCGGTTTGTTCGAATTTCTCCGCATGCCATTTGGCCTAAAGAATGCCGCACAATCCTTCCAACGTTTCATGGATCAGGTCACACAAGGTTTGGACTTTGTATTTGTATATATCGATGACGTTTTAATTGCTAGCTCGTCGCCCGAAGAACATACTGATCACCTCACCATCTTATTTCAACGATTTGAGCAATATGGAGTCGTCATTAACCCCAAAAAGTGCATATTCGGTGTCTCCTCTATACAGTTTCTGGGACACCACATAACCGCGAATGGTATTACGCCTACGGAGGAAAAGATAGAGTCCATCAAAAACTTCCCCGAACCAGATTCACTCAAGAAGGTCAGACGTTTTTTGGGGATGTTTAATTTCTATCGGCGTTTCATTCCTTCGTGTGCCTCCATCGTCCAGCCGTAAACCGTTTCCTTAAAAATGATCCTAAAAAGTTTCAGTGGTCAGCTCAAGCACGCGAATCTTTTTGCAACGCAAAAGACGCCTTATCCAAAGTCACTATGCTATCCCATATCAACCCCGAAGCATCGCTTATTTTGTGCACAGATGCCTCCCAAGTAGCTGTAGGGGCAGTATTACAACAAAAGATGAAGGGTGAAGTCACCCCACTCGCATTCTTTTCTAAGAAGTTGGAACCGGCTCAGACACGATACAGCACTTTTGGGAGAGAATTGTTGGCCATATATCTTGCAGTGAAGCATTTCAGTTACTTACTACAGGGCCGGCATTTCACTATTTTTACTGACCACAAGCCCCTGTGTCATGCTTTCACTACTTCACTCGATAAACACTCCCCTAGAGAAGCCAGACAGTTGGATTATATCTCCCACTTTTCAACCGACACTCAGTATATCAAAGGGGATGCGAACGTGGTAGACGATCTGCGAGTTTGTGTGTACTGTTTGTATATACGTGTGGTGTGTCATATCAATTGGTGGTGTTTTGGATTCATTGTGTTTACTCGTTGTTTTCGTACCTTGTTTTTATTGCATAATTTTGTTAAAATTTTAGTCGTGATTACTTCTGAAGTTGTTTCGTGTCCTCTACATCCGTGAATGAATTGATTGATGTTAGAGACAGCAGATGGGTCGTATACGCCGGGGAGGCTATTTCTGAGAATGAAATGCATGCGGAGATAATTGTTAGTTGCGGTCTCACACCCCGGGGAGAAAGAGTGTAAACGACTGGGGCTCGCATACGTCACCGTTACTAGAACTGAGGCAGAATGAGTGACAAGCGATTGCAGTGGTGATTGGTTGTGAGTAGATAAGAGGATGTGCGTGTAGTATCATGAGTTGGTGCTATGGTCACGTTGCATTCTGCAAGAGTCATTCTAGCAAATGGCGATTGTGCTGCAGTAGGATGCCTTTAACTGGAAGGCGCAGGTCGTCATTGATGTGTGAGATTGTGCTGTGAGTATGCTTGTGGTGTGTTGGCTTTTCTGTTTGTTTTCCATTTCAGCTCTGTCCGTGTGACCCAGGTTCTCGCAATGGCATCCAAGTCAACGTGCATTGGTCGTGATGAAAAAAAGGGGTTGGATCCCTTTTTTGCCGGGCAGTGTCAATGTAGTTGATGATTGAACGATCAATTCATGGTTGTTTGCTCAAAATCAACTTCCCCAATTTTCGCGGAGGCATCAATACGACAGTCGTCGTCTCATCGGTCGCTGTTCAGAAAGAAGTCAGCAAAAAACCGTCAGAAGTAATCTTGTGATTTATTATTGTAATATTTGTTCACAGACCTTAGTTCACTTATTCTTTTTATATGTTGGTGTAACAATAAAGAAATCTCAAGCGGCCAATCGGTGTTTTGGTTTTTTCGTCCGTTATTACTAAGCGTTTCTGAAATCTTCGAAGAACAGCGCGAGCCCGAGCGTAGCAAGAGCTGGGCATTAACGGTTTACGAGACGTGGCTGACAATCAGAGTGTATTTTCAATTGTCCACGGAAGTTAAGCATATTTTAACAAGAAGCGTTTTAAACAAAAATCATGTACAATATCTCTAATTTCCACAAATATACAAAAAGTGTACAATCACATTGTTACGTACTCCACACGGCTCCCCCTATGTGTCCGGAGAGACCACCGGAAAATTTTAAGTAAAACTTTGAAGTAAGTAATAATAATTTTTGGGTAAAAATAGGGATATATTACAACATGCATAAACACGAGAATTTATGTGAATCGTGTAAAGTCTGAAAGCATATACAATGAGTTCAGCAATAAAAATTGAAATAGAAAGTTATGTAACTTAAATTTGCACTAACCATGAACATATATATTTAATGTATAAAGAAAAATATGTATATACACAGTAAATAATGAGGGGAAAAAACGTTTAAAAAAATATGGATT